AATACCATGAGTGGATAAAGGATCAGATTTATGGTATATTTGTGTGTGTGTGTGTGTGTGTGTGTGTGTGTGTGTGTGTGTAGTGTGTGCTGGAGATTGATACCAGGAACTTATGCATGTGAGGTAAGCACTCTACCAACTGCGCTATATCCCCAGCCCAGATTTATAATATACTTTTATATTATAAATATATTTATATTTTATTTACTTTTATTTTCCTCTTTTACTTTTATTTTCCTCTTTCTCTATGTCTCTCTCTTTCTATCTTATTGTGCTATTTCTACTTTGTCAGGACCTACATGAATCTAGCATGTTTTTAAGGAGTTCAGTTTTCAATTTCCCAAGTTATATAATTTAAGCTCTATCTTCCTCTTCTTCCCCTCAGCCCTGACCTGCCTTTAGACTGAATCAAGAAAGCAGAAGCCACTTGATCAGATTTTTTCATCTTCCCTTTCCTCCTATGAAATCTACCGAGCTGAACTTAAATCTGTTTTCCTTCTTATCCCTACTCTTGTTAAAATGAAATTTCTCCACTTGAACTGTAACTCTAGTATCCTTTCGCTTTGTTAAGCTTTTCATTCTTTCAAATGTCCCTTCTCTCTCCTGCATCACCCATCTCTATCTATCTACTAAATCATTTCCATCCACACAAACTTTTCTGTTGACTATCAATAAAAAACTCCTTAACTTGACCCTTATTTCTCTTCAATAACACCCCACTTCTCTTTATCACTCATCTTTTCTAAAGAGCTATATCTAGTCTCCAACCTCTTTTATCTGGATTTGCATCTTCACCATTGTATTTATTTTGGTTTGGTCTTAAATGTCCATAAAGACCATGTGCCAAAGGCCCTGTGGTGGAACCTTTAGGAGGTAAAGCCTATGGGAGAAAGTTAGGTCAAGTGTATGCCTTTGAAGGGGATGTTGGGACCCTGGTCCCTTCTCTCTGCTTCCTGGGTGCCATGAGGTGAGCAGCTTTGCTCCACCATGCACTCTCCACCATGATATTCTGCCTTGCTATAGGTCCAAAGTGATGAGGCCAAGCAACCATGAACTGAAACCTATAATCATCAGACAAAATAATCCTTTCCTTCTTGTAAGTGGTTTGTGTCACTTTGACAGAAAGCTGACACAGCAATTAAAATTGCTCTTGTCAAGGTCACCAAGAACTCTGACATTATTAAATCTAATGGACTTTTGATCTCTCATTGGCATTTGATAGCAAGTGAAACTTTGCTCTCTTGGATCCTATAATTTCATATTCTCCTCTTCCTCAGATTCTTCCTTCTAAGCTTGACCTCTGATTGTTGAAGTCAGTCTTATTTATCTGTCCTTTCTGCAGAGGACTTCATCCAGTTCCATGGCTCTAAGTGCTTATGCCTTCTACATTTACACCTTTATCACAGAACTTTACTTTTGGTCTCCAGATTTACTCGATTGCTATTTATCTCTTTAGTTAGATGTCTTGTTAAACTTCTAAATTTTACTAGTCCAAAATACAACCTTTCCCTCAAGCCCATTCCTCTCCCATAATGCACCATCTCAATAAATTTACCATCATTCAGTTGTTCAAGCTAACAATTCAGCAGGAATCCTGCATTTACCTCTTTTCCTTATTTCCCATATGTGGCAGCCATGAATGTGCACCTCTCAGATCTCCAGTTGCAGGATTGTTGACTGACTGCCCAAGCTGCTGTACTCTGACATCCATCACTATGTTTCAAGCTGCACTTCCCAGCAGTCACTACTGAGAACAGCTGGTATAAAGGCAGAGAGACCTGGAACTCTTCTCATGGGAGACCTTGGTTTGAAGACTCCCCATTAACTTTGCTGAAACTTTCTTAGAATGGCATCATGTATTCAATTTTTCCTACCCTTCCTTTCCTTTTTTCCACATGGATTAGCTTGTATCTACTCTAATATCTCTTCCGATTACCCTCAAATGCATTCCAATTTTTCCTTCACAGTTGTTTCCCTCAAATCTCTTGCATGTCTTACCTGACTTTGTTGGTTGCTTCCCGAAAGATCTAAACCAACACATTGTAGTTGATCCATTCACATTTTTTATGTCATTTCTGTCTCCTAAATATATTTCTTGCATCCCTTCTTTATCCACTTCTCTCTATTGTCATCATCACTCAGGTGGAGCTATGATTCCCTCTGCCCCCATTATTGTAACAGTTGGCTATTCTTATTTATTTATTTTTGTTCTAATTAGTTATACATGACAGCAGAATACATTTTGACTCATTGTAAACAAATGGAGCACAACTTTTCATTTATCTGGTTATATACTACGCAGAGTCATACCATTCAAGCAATCATACATGTACATAGGATAATAATGTCTGTCTCATTCCACCATCTTTCTCACCCCCAAACCTCTTCCCTCCTCAGTCCCTTCTGCCCAATCCAAAGTTCCTCCATTCTTCCCTAGCCCACTCTCCATTTATGGATCAGCATCAGCTTAATAGAGAACAGTTGGCTATTTTTATGCCTTTCCAATCTATTCTCATCACAGTAGGTAGAGTGATTTCTTTTTTTAAAGTAAATCACCGTGTTACTGACATGCTTAATACCTTTCAGTGGCTTCTCATTATGCTTAAAAGTAAATTTTGCCCTCCTGCTATGTCCACCAGATGCCTTAAAACCTGGCTTCTTCTTCCCTCTTCAACTTCATCTCCTATTACCTTCCGCTAGTCCTGGTGCCCACCAAGTTTCAGACATCTTAGCATCCTTTCTTTTTCTACAAACAAACAGCTGAGTCCTCTGTTCTTCCTCCATCCTGAAATATTTTCTTCCAACCCTTCAGAAGGTAGGCTTATTTTTAGCTCTCAACTTAAACATCTTTATCAGTGCAGACTTCTCCAGCCAAGCTCAAATATCTACCCAACTTTGTTCTGACTCTTTTCTGCTAGGTAGTTATCACTCTCTGTAACTATTTTGCTTAGGTTTGTTTCTCTCACTTGAACAGAGGATAACAAGTTAAGGCCCATAACTGCCATTTGTTTAACAGAGGATATCAAGTTATGGCCCATAACTGCCATTTGTTTTTCAATGGCTCTACATCTAAGAATGGATGCTATATATTGAAGAGTTTGAAAATGTTAGACCAGGACGCAAGAAAAGACCACTGACTCCAATTAAAATCAAATTAAAGCAAGCTTATTATTTTGACCGGCCGGGCTGCTTCTTCCTCCCAAAACGGTGGGAACAAGACAGCCCTGCAGCTTTCTTGCTGCCCAGCTTTACAGCCCAAAAAGTTACACAAAGCGGGGGTTACAGATAACAGAACTCTGACAAGCATCACACTAATGGTAGTTTACATTTTTTTTGCTGGCCCCAACATCAGAATTTATGAGGACCATTAGAGCCTCAGAGAGGGTCGTTGTCTGGCCAGGGAAGGCCAAGATTTGTGAGGTGTCACTAAAGTTTCAGAGAGGGCTGCTATCTGGTCAGAGAGCCAGGCATGGGTGAGTTCAAGGCACGGGCAGGCATTCCAAGAAGGTTCAGAATTTGCAGTAATTTATAGTAAAGCCAAAATTATCTTTTCATGGCTTTGTGGCAAGATGGCTCCCGATTTTAATAAAAGATCAGGTTGGGTCTATCAAAAAAAACAATAGCACATTTTAAAAGACTATTTCATGACACTTAAAAATATGTGAAATTTGAATTTCAGTGTCCTTAATAAAGCTGGAACATGACTGTTATGGTCTGGCTCTGTGGTGTCCTCTCAAAGTTCATGTTTAGAAAATGCAAGAGTTTAGAGGTGAAATGATTAGGTTATGAGAATCTTCACTTAGTAAATGCATTAATTCACTTGAATGGATTAAGTGGGTGGTAAATAGTAACTGGGCAGGAAGGGTGTGATTGAATAGGGTGGGTCTCTGGGAGTGTGCCTTTGGGGCACATATTTCCTCCCTGATAGTGAAGCTCTCACTGCTTCCTGGTGGCCTTTGGGAGCTGCTTTCCTCCTACTCACCCTCCATGCCTCACCTCAGGTCCAGAACAATGGAGGTGCCTTCTGTGGATGGAGACCTCTGAAACTGTGAGCCCTGAATAAACTTTTCCTTCTCTACACTGTTGTCAGGTCTTTTGGTCATAGTGACAAAAAAGCTGACTAAAACAGCATTCATTCATTTCCATATTGTTTATGTCTACTTTCACGCTGTATCAACAGAGTTCATCAATCCTGTATGATCCACGAAGCCTAAAATATTTACAGAAAAACTGTTCTGATCATTGTACTAGATTTAAGCTGCATGAGTTGGCCACATGATCTTGTTCAGTTCTTCACTCCCAGTGTCTGGTTCATAGCTAGTGCTCAGTAATTGCAAATTGAGCAAACCCTTTCCAGTGTCCCTGAGACTGTTAATAGCTGATGATGTAGAGGTAGGCAGGTTTATCTCTCTTTGGCTTCTTCCCTTCAAAAACCCAGACAAATGAATTAGGAACTTATTATTCTGGACTCTGGAGAAGTGCTTTGAAAACAGGACTGTATTTTAATGTCCAGCACAGTCCCTTGTACAAGATAGGGTGCAACCAGAAACCGAAAGAATTCTTTTGGGTTGACTATTAAGGAGAAATTAAGCATTTCAGCAAAGAACTTCTTAGCACAGTGTCAGTTGTACAAAAGTGTTCAGTTAATGTTTGCTCCTGTCTCAATTTTCTTGCTGCACACAGGAATAAAGTCATCTTTTACAGGGTTGTCACAGATAAACAGGAATCCTTTGTGTGAAAAAGACATGTAAATCGCAAACACTACCCAAACAGACTTATCCACAATAAATTAATAAATCTTGGCTTTGGGCAACTTGCCCCGGGGCGAGGAAGAAGTCCCAACTGGAGTGTGCCGACGGGGCGGGGCCGGGGGCGGGGTGGGCAGATCGGGGGCGGGGCCTTTCGTCTTCCTTTCCTCCTGCCGTAGCAGCCCGACCGGCCGCACGGGGGCGCCGCTGGGGCAGCTCTGTTCCACGAGTTGCCCAGCAGCGGAGAAGGCAATCACTTCCGCGTCGGGCCCGGCGGCGTCCGGCTGCTGCGCCGAGGGCCCGGCCGGTCGCAGGTCAGTCGGGAGGCCGCCGCCGCGCCCCGCCCGTGCGAAGGAGCCGGGCGCCGGGTGGGCCGCGGACCGCGGGCCCGGGAGGAGGCGGGGCGCCCCCAGGAGGCCCGGGCCGTGCTGATGATACCGGCGCCCCGGGCTGCAGGCTTGGGCTTCTGACCAATTCGGGGTCCTTGGGCCTTTGGAGACCCCCGCGGGGCTTTCTGGTTTTCCACCCCTTCCTTTTCGTCCCTCTCCGAGGAAGAGTGAGTCCTTTGAGCAGTGTTTCTGCTCCGTCCTAGGGCGGATCCCGAGCCCCTCTCAGACTGAACCAGATTCTGCTGTGGCCTGGGAGTCTGCATTTTCAACCAGCGTCCTTATGGTTTTGATRCAGGTGGTCTCAGAACCTCACATCAGGGACACAGCCCCTTTGAGCCATGCCCTTCTCACATAGAAGGAAGCCTAAATGGGTGCATCTGAGGATGGGGTTTGGGGAATACCGCCACAGATCTAGTCTTGAATTGATGATGGTCCTCAGTCTTAGGAGAGATCACCTGGAGGTGGGGGAGGAGCTCTTAGCCCCCGGATTCAGGGTGCTGCTGCCTTCCTGTAGCTATCAGGTCTTCAAATGTACCGCTGCTTCGTGAGTGAAGGGTCCTGGATCAGGAGCCATAAGGGTGGAGCAGTCCTGAAGGAAGTCGCTTCCGGGGTGCAGCTGGAAGAACTTGGGATGGATCCTGCTACCCTGGATTGCAACGGGTTCCATCACTTATGAGTAGGTCCCAATGTGGACCCTGCACACATCACTCTTATTTTTTTATCCAAGTATTTTCATCTGTCAATAGGGTCAGTAATTCCTATCGGATAAGGCTTTTCTGTGAATTGTAGTGGCTGGCACATGCATTCAGTAAATGGGAATTATTAAGGGTGACACCAGCCTTGCCTTCCTCAAGCTTACAAATAAGAAAAAAGTCGCGGTTAAATAAGTGGATAGAAACGTGGGCAGAAGTACAAAGTACATTTGAATAACTGTAAGGATTCTAACTTGGGGTGGGTACTTGGGAAGTTCATGCAAGAAAAGAGATCTGTCAATGCCATGAAGAATAGATAGGATTCCAGGGAGCTGGTAACTAGGGTAGCGGGAACCAGTGCCACCCCATGACTCAGAAGCCATTTTCTCGTGAATCTTTGGAGTGCTGCTCCCAGGACTTCTGGACAGCAAGAAGTCACATCCATAATGGTTTTGTAAGACTGAACTTTTATCCCATAATAGTTTCTGTCTATTGACCATGATCCACATATGTGGTCTTCTCCATTTTATTGGCAACTGCCTAAATAGGATTATCTACAAAAGGATTTGAGTTGATCACATAGTAATAATGGATTGACCTGGATGTAGTTGCGCCTTTGGCAGCCATTTTAAACTTGCTATGAAGTATATAGGTACTGAAAATTCTCATTATTAAGAGCATCTTTCCTAGCACAGTATCATTTCAGGTTCTGTAAAAACACTACAGACACCTATGGTTAACAATCTCCAGAATGGATTAAGGAATAAAACTCTTAAAACATCACCAAAGCTTTAGCCATTTTAGAGTGAAGAAACTGGATACCTTAGAGGTGTCAATTATAGTTCTAGACTACTCTGGCTACAGAATTCTTTTCTCAATTGATAAGTGATATAACTTAAGAATTAGAATTATTTGTTAGTAACTTCTGCTTTTTTGTTTCCTTTAATCTACAAAGTCAGTATCAAGTCAGTAAATACCTTATGGTAAAATTTATTTTATTATGCATATTTGTCATTTATTGCATACTTACTCTGAGCTAGAGACTATTCCAAATACTTTTTATATATTCTGTTATTTATTCCTCTGTTAGTCCTTAATGTAGGCACCATTGCTGCCTCCATTTTATAGATGAGGAAACAAGAAAAGGAAGATAAATAATTTGTCCAAGATCTCAGAACTAAATGGTAAAAGCCTAGCAGCTCAATTCCATGCTATACACAAATGTCCTCTGCAGTCCAGGTAGCTTCTTCATGTCAATACCAAATAACATAAGTGTGCCTCACCTTTGCTTTGTATGGGGACATATGTTTAGTTCTCTAAAGTCATCTCAGCAGCTGTGATTTAGTTGATGATAGGTTATGATCTGTTATAAATTCTCAGGCCAGTTTTCCGACTTCTCAGCATATCTTAAACTTCTTTTTTTTTAATATTTATTTATTTATTTAATATGGTGCTGAGAATCAAACCCAGTGCCTCACATGTGCTAGGCAAGCGCTCTACACTGGACCTCAACCTCAGCCCCAAACTTCTTTTGTATTCTATAAAATATTTCAATTCAACATTGCCAGTTCTAAGGAAGTGATTTAAAATCATATTCAAGTATATTTATTTTATCATTAATTTATTGTTGAAAATGTCAGTGATGATTGTCCTTTGTTTTTACAGAGGAGGTCCTGAACTGCCATTATTTTGAAGTTTGAAAGTGTGAGGCAAACCTTTAGGTGTCCAAGGGAGCAATGGCAGGCCACAAGACAGAAGAGGTGCTCGATATTCTTCGGCTGAATGTGGGTGGCTGTATTTACACAGCCCGGCGAGAGTCTTTGTGCCGTTTTAAGGATTCTATGCTGGCATCTATGTTCAGTGGTCGTTTTCCTCTAAAAACAGATGAATCAGGTAAATTTCTAAAGTCTGGAAGCATGATCATGAATATTCATTAGAATGGGAATCTATTTTAAATTCCCTCTGATTTTCCTAATTACATTGGAATATATTAGTCTACTAATTATTGAGATCATTAGGGCTGTATGGAGATTCATTAAGTACATAGAAATTAAATACGAGTTTCTAAAATCTGTGATGCTGTTGCTGAAAGTTAACAAAGAAGTGAACGCATGAAGGCCAACCAGGACGTGATTATGGGGATTAATAGTATTTTGAAAGTTATTACTGTCATGGGACCTTATGGGTGAAGGTGTTGAGACTGGTTAAATATATTAGCTTCTCTATGTGTTCTTCAAGTTAGAAAATGTGTTTCGCTCTGAAAAGTAGCTGCCCTCATATCCTACAAAGCAGATGTTGTAAAATTAGAGTTGCCCTTGCCACTTGGCCTAGCTGTATTGTGTGGTGTGGTCTGACATGCGTAGTTGAGGAAATGGCAGTGTGGTGATACCTTTGGTCTCCAAAGTTGATGTTTTAGAAGAAACTATAAAATATAATAATATGGTCTGGGTCTGTTCTCTTTTCTTCAAGTATTGTGACAGTCACTGAACCTACTACTGGTTTATCTTTATCACCCCAAGAGTGGCTTTTGCACTATTTGTGAGTCTCAGAACCCACTCTAGTTCTGTATTAGAGAACTGGGATCGAGAAGTCCTGAGCACACGATGCCATTCTATTGTTAGTAACTCAAGGTCTTGGGAGGTTGCTTTGTCATCTACATGCAGTTGAAAGAATGGAAAATCACTGATGTCTGGTACCCACAGCCTGATATCCCTGGTGCAGAATGTTTATGGTAACCAGGGATTGAGCTCTATTCTCTGCCCCAATTTTTACCTCCTTAATCCTTTTCTCAACAAATCAAGGGAGAAAAGAAAATACGAAGTATGTGATGCAGAAGCTTTTTCTTTTTTTTCTGATTTTACTAAATTGTCTAAGAAAATTCTTACCATAAAGTGGTACCAACGTGGCATTCCTTCTTTTTTAAAGTGTCGGTTTTCACACTTTTAAGGGACTAACCTAAAAATCTCAAACATAGGGCATACTTGGTGCTAGGAACTTCAGGCTTATAGTGTCACTGATATTTCAACGCTGAACATAGTGGCAAGCACCCAAGTGTCCTCTTTAGCATGGGGCAGCTCCAACTCTATACACCTGTCCTGGGACCTTATGGGTGAAGGTATTGAGACTGGTTAAATATATTAGCTTTTCTATGTGTTCTTCAAGTTAGAAAATGTGTTTCTCTGTGGAAAGTAGCTGCCCTCATAGCTTACAAATCTTTTTAAAGATGTTGAAGTTAGGGGTAAGCTTCCTTTCTACTATCAGTCTGAGGTCCCCTTGGTTTTTGCAGTGACCATAGTAGGAATGTGGTTATTGCATCAAAATTCCAAGTCGATCTTGGAATATATTTTTCTCTATGGTGGGTAAGAATACAAAGTATACCACTAACCCACATAATCTTTTTTAAATTTAATTTTTTAAAAATTTATTATTTATTTATGTATTTAATCTTTTGGGTACCAGGGATTGAACTCAGGGGCATTCAACTACTGAGCCACATCCCCAACCCTATTTTGTATTTATTTAGAGACAGGGTCTTATTGAGTTGCTCAATGCCTCGCTTCTGCTGAGGATGGCTTTGAATTCTTGATTCTCCTGTCTCAGCCTCCTGAGCTGCTGAGATTACAGGCATGTGCCCGGCCCACATAATCTTTTTGTGCGTATTAGAAAAGTGTGGCCTTTTATCCAAGAGGGTACAACTCCATGGCAGAGTGCACTTGGCTGGAAGAGCAAAGTGTGAGCTTGATTTTAGCCTTGCTCGTCCCCTTGGCCTGGCCTACAGGTACAGAGTTCACCCACACAACCAAACATGACAACCCTGGAGATAGATACTTGCTTTCAGATTTATGTGCAGTGTTTTAGAGATGCAGATGATTTCCCCAAACAACCACTCAAATTCAATTATGTACTATCATCTATTTGTAAGCTGAGGGTAGCTAGTATATCACATTTACTGTTCCAGGTGAAACATCAAAAGTCTAACTTAGTTTGATTAGCTAAACCTATCTCAATAATAAATGTTAACTTTTTTTGTGAGAAAGAAATATTTACAATTGTAGAGGTCATCAGACTTGTTGAAGTTTTATTGATCATCATATGAATCTAAGCAACCATTTTTGAACTGAATGTTTTCTAGGGGCTTGTGTTATTGATCGTGATGGACATCTATTTAAATACCTTTTGGATTATCTTCATGGAGAAGTTCAGATTCCCACAGATGAGCACACTCGTGTTGCCCTACAGGAAGAGGCTGATTACTTTGGCATACCTTACCCATACAGCCTGTCTGACCACTTGGCCAATGAAATGGAGACATATTCTTTAAGGTCAAATATAGAACTTAAAAAGGTCTTGGCATTTTCTTAAGTTTTAAAATATGTAATTTATTTATTATGCACAAAGCAATATGTATTATCTTGTATCACCTGTGTTGTCACATAATGAAACATGAGATAGTTCTTATGCTTTTTGAAGACACGACTCTTAATTACTCCTACTCAGTTTTTAAGGCCACAATTCAGTTCTAGAAAAGTGTATTACTTTGCCACTCAAGGATTAATTGAATTTATATTTCTCTTTTTGATGACTTTTTTATAGAACCATTCTGCTGCTAAAGCTCTTTTAAATTAAGAGAAATATTATGATACTTCTTAGAGCATTCTAGTATTATTTAGTTTACTAAAATGGTTATTTTAAAAGAGTAGTCATACTAAATAATAATTTTTTTACCTGATTTAGTGAGTGTATCAGTGAGTTAAAACATTAATTTAATTCAAATTGAGATCAGTAAATCTTTTTAAAGATGTTTCTGTTTTAAATCACATCTTTTTTTTGTTTGTTTTTTGTTTTTGTATACCAGCGGTTGAACTCAAAGGCACTCAACCACTGAGCCACATCCCCAGCCCAGTTTTGTATTTTATTAGAGATAGGGTCTCACTGAGTTGCTTAGTGCCTTGCGATTGCTGAGACTGGCATTGAACTCACGATCCTCCTGTCTCAGCCTCCAGAGCTGCTGAGATTACAGGAGTGCATCACTGCACCCAGCCACATCTTTTTTTTTTTTTTTTTAACATTTTTTAATTTAAAAGTTTTAAAATTACTTATACATGACAGCAGAATGCATTTAATTTCATTGTACACAAATGGAGCACAACTTTTCATTTCCCAGGTTGTACACCATGTGGAGTTGCATCTTAAGATCTTTACATGAGTTGATAAGTTTCATTATTTTGTCTTATGATAAATATTATATTTGATATTAATTAGTACCTAAGAAAACTGTTTTCCCTGGGTAATTGTTAATAGTGAAAAGTGATCTCAACTGGTTTGTTTCTTTGATTTGGATGTCAGTGTCTAGGAAATAAGCTGATGGATGGTTGATCATTAGGAGTGCAGCTCAGAGAGAAAGTTGATTTGGTTCCAGATTCTCTTCAGGAATTTGCATAGATGTATGTGTTTTGTTACTGAAGTTATTTATAAATTTAACTGCCAAATAATAGTCTTTCAGTGCTGTTTGACATATTTACAGAATGGGGCTAAAAAAAAGCCTGGGGAAAGTTAATGTTCATCTTTTGAATTTCAACTCTATTGTTTTTTATTCCTAGTTTGTATTTAATGAAGGCAAATCATATCCACATTTATTTAATCAGTTAACACATATATGTTTTAACTGTTTGTGACATATATGGCACTGTACAGGGACTGTGTTGGATACTCAGAAATACAATGTACAGTTTTTGCCTTTGAACAATTTATAGTGTAGTTAGAAATTCTTATAGATATGCAAGGACAGTTTAAGACCAATCAGGAGCAATATTAAATGAAAGGGCAAGACAAAAGAGGTCCTTAGATTCACTACTTAGTATAAATATTGGGCATGTCCTTTGTGTCAGCCACTATTCCAGACACTTGAGGATATATTAGTGAACAAAACAACAAAGGTGCCTCTCCTTAAGGTGTGTAGAGTAGTAATGTCATTTCTCCCAGGGAAGGCCCTTTGCTACTCCACTGGGTGAAACCCCATGCTCCCTTCCTTGCAGCGCCTTTATTCTCATCAGGTGGTACTTGTTACATGGTATGTTGATGACTTAGTTAATGTCTGTCTTTTGCATTAGCTGTAAACTCTTGGAGGGTAGGTCTCTTCACCATAATAACTCCAGGACCTTAATGCTCAACACATAGTAGGTATTTAATATTCAAGCAAATGAATGGTTAGATAAATGCCAAATGAGTTCAAACAGTATTTTTTGAGTTCACATATATCTATCTTTCAATGTAAAAGAACAAGTTAATCTGGTTAGTCCTTTATTGGAATTTGGAATTAAACATAAGGACCAACCATGGGGCTAGTCAGTGGAAGGTGAACAGAAGATTGAATCAAATGGGAAATATTTGTGAAAATATTCTAAAGGAAAAAGAAGAGATCTAACTTTTACTTATTTTAGGAAGACTATAAAATTAAAAGATTATAAAATTGGTTGGCTGGAAGAGGAGATAAAATAGAATTTCCATATGGAAAAGGATTGTCTAAATGAAAAAAGTGCATTGGTTTTTGGGTGTTATTTTTTGTGACCCTTCCACCCATAATTTCATTACACACATGTTTAAAGTCTAGGCTGAAATTTATAATCTTTTTTATTTCTCTTCTGATCAGTTTGGATTGTAGCTTTGCATGAAAATAATAGAACAAATTCATTTTTCACTTTACTCCATTAAATTCAAGTTTTATATATATATATATATATATATATATTTTGCTTCAGGCTTTAACAGACTTCTGTGATTCATATGGCTTAGTTTGCAATAAGCCAACAGTTTGGGTTCTCCACTATCTTAACACATCTGGTGCAAGCTGTGAGAGCAGAATTATTGGTGTATATGCCACAAAAACTGATGGAACTGATGCTATTGATAAGCAGCTTGGAGGAAGAATTCATAGCAAAAGCATTTTTAAAAGGTATGTCCAAATTTAAAAGTAAAAGGAACAAAATAGAGTGTTGATGCCTTCTAAGAGGTGAAATATTGTGCTTGACTAGAAAAGACCATAAGCACATCTCAGTGAATGTGGTGAGCCCCATAGCTGTGGAGATAGGTCTACATCAGGAAGAGAGTATGACTAACACCATTTTACATGTGAAAAATTACAGGCCATCTGTATGGTCAGGACGGTGGTTCTCAACAAGGAGTAAGCATTAGAATCCTTTGAGAGGCTTAAAAAAAAAAAAAAAAAGCAAAGCCACATGCCCAGCGTCTTTCCTGAACACTAGGCAGAAGCACTGACTAGAAGTCAGCAGGCCCAGTGAGTGGCCCAGGGCTGCCTGTGTCTCATGTCTTCTGAAAAATGAAGGCCTTCCTTGGTCTCTTCCAGCTTTTGAATTCTATGACTTAAATACATTAAAGTTGTCCCTTTAATGTAGTTCATGTAATCTTATGATACTGGTCAATTCAACTAGCAAACTTTTATTTATTTATTTAAATTCTTTGGGAGATTGGATTGGGTCACATATTAGTGACTAATGCTTGACCATATATATAGGCTTGGTTTTCAGATGATTATAGAGGTTATCAGTTTCTGAATTCTTTATGGGCAAGGATGCTTCTATATGAGGTATATACAAGTGCATGGCATGATGATAGGAAAATTACTAGAGTTGGCWGGTTTTTTTAAAAAAATTGATTTTAAAATGTACTGACTTATCAATATGGTTTATATTATGAAATTAACAGATACTTTACTGTGGTAAAAAAAAGATCAAATGTGTGTGCTATTGTGTGTGTGTATATACTTGCATACACATATGTGTATATTAATTTATAGTTTATGTGTAGGTGTAAGGGTCACAGAACAACCACTGAATGTCTATGTTATTTTTTCCTTAGTCATCAAGCACTTACTGCGTCTCCATTAGCCGAATATATGTATACAGATTCATATGTTGGTATTTCCATTATTTTTTGTAATATTTCTAGAGAGGCGGGAAATAATGTTCAGTACATTTGGAGTTATTATTCAGTAGCTGAGTTGAAGAAAATGATGGATGCCTTCGATGCTTGGGAAGGAAAAGGTACAGTGCAATTCTTTTCACATACTTTTCCTTAATAAGACAAAGTAAACATAAATGTTGCATTTCTTTTTTGAGAAAATATATTTTTGAGTGTGTCAAGCTATTTGTCATCTTGTGGTGACATAGAGATAGTTTCCTTATAAATCTTTAAACTCCATGAATTTCGAGATACTATTAATAATTTATAATTTACTAGCCTCAAATATGCTTTTATTAGTTGTGCTTAATTAGTTCAATTAAGCAAGAGCTTATTTAGACCTACTGTGTACCTAGCATTGTCCTAAGAAGTAGACCTCTAAATTAAGCATAAAATGAGTAAGAAAATGGAGAAAAAATGAAAATCATGAAGGAGGTGTCTAAAGCACTCTTAGAAAACAAGATAATTTTTAAATACACACTTTGAAAACTGGAAATTTTAAGTCAAGCTACCTGGAGAGAGCTGACAATAGACTGTTTTAATTAGTTTGCATGTATAGCTCTTAGTACTAAAGCAACCTATATACTGCTTACTATTTCCAGTTGTATATATATGAGGAAACAGTCTCAGAAAGACCATGCGGGACTAGCTTAGGAATTACAGAGAGTTAACTGTTCTATGCTTAAGTATTTTTTCTTAAATAATAAGTATATATCGAATGTTCATTAGGTACAAAGCACTCTAAGTACTAAAATTGGATCCACTGATGAATAAGACACATCACAATCCTCAAATGACTTTGAAAACTGGTAGAGCCATATTGCCAATCACATAAGAATGAATGAAAGGAAGAGGCTATTTATTTATGTATTTGCAGTACTGGGAATTAAATCTAGGGCCTTGTCGTGCTAGGTAAGTGCTCTACCATTGAGCTATATCCCTAGCCCACAAGGAAGAGACTTTTAATTGATTAATTTATTAATTAGTTAATTTAATGGTAGAATGCATTTTGACATATTGTACACAAGTGGAGCACAACTTTTCATTCCTCTTTTTGTACATGGTGCAGAGTTGCTCCAATAGTGTAATCAAACATGAATATAGGGTAGAAGAGATTTTTTATTAAAAACTCTATATCTGCCAGTCCACCATTTGGCCAGTGCTGGCACCAGCCTTTCTTCCTTTCTTCAACTTTAGCCTCCTTACCTTCCTCCTTTTCCTTTCCCATCTTACCCCTCAAGTATTCAGCGTGGTATATAATAATGAAAAAAGAGCTATTCTCTTTAAGCTTATTATTTGAGATTTAATTTACTTTGAGACACTTATGCTCAAGTTGAGGAACAAACCCCCTGTTGTTCTCTCTGTCTTCTTTTGTGCCTCTGGCCTGGCAGGATGCCCAGGAGACTTCTGGAGGGCCCTGGCCTGGCTTCTTTCTCCACTGACTTTAGGAAGCTGAAGTGGAAAACTGGAATCACTGACTTTTACAAAACATGTGAATGATTTTATTTTTTAAAAACAGCATGTAATAGAGCATCATTGTTATTTAACAAAATTCTGGAAGGCCTGGAGAAATATTTTTATCATTGGTGTTTACTCTTAACCTTTGCTTCATTCCTGTGCCAGGTGACAGAAGTAAGAGAGAAAAAACTGTAGAACAGAAAAGACAAAATCATTGCTATTTGTGGACAATATATATTTTTAGAAAACTTGGAAGAATCAGTTAAAAGTATTTAAGTGATGATTTAGTAGACTAAGATAACTGGATACAACATAGATTTACAGTGATTGACAGCTTACCTGTAATCGATTAGAAATGATTGTGGGGAAATTTCATTCACAATAGTAATAAGCAAAACATAAAATAACTAGACTCTCCCTTGAGACTATCTAAGATATGCTGGAGTCTTTTTATGAAGAAAACTGATGAAATGTATTTATCTGCCTGTTCCATCAATCCATTCATTCATCCATCTATTTAAAAAAAAAAAGAGAATGGTAAGACTTACCATGATTCTGAATGGAAAATCTGAATATTATAAAGATATCAGTTTTTCTCATATTAGAGTTTTAACATGATTTATGCCAAAATATCAATGGAACTCTTTGGAAATCTTGAGAGAATGATTCTAAAATTCCTCTGAAAGAATAAATAGGTAAAGTAGCCAAGAAAATTTTGGGAAGTAGAATTAGGGGCCTGATAGTAAAACATGCTGATAGTAAAACATGCTACAATAACTCTCTGATAATAAAAAAAAAAAATGGTTTCTTGTGTGTGAATAGAGTACAGATCAAGAGTAAACACTGGTAAAATTTTAATAAAAATACTGTCTGTAATACCAATGGAAAAAAATATAGGTTATTTAATAAATAATTGAAAAATATGCTTGAGAGGAAAAATAAAACTTTAACCTCACATCACTTATCAAAATAATTCAAAGTGGATTTATGAATGAAAAAGAACCTTACGTTAAATTAAAAGAAATTTAAACAAATAGTTGGCTTTTTAAGTAGAGAAATTATAAGCACAAAAAAAATCATAAAGACCAAATTGATAAATTTGTCTACACACATTTTGGGTGTATCTGCAGAATGTAATAAGGTATTAAAATTATTTGGGAATAAATTATTTATATATTATATATATACTCATGTTTTGGAGTTTGTATATATAACCCAAAGTTGCTTGGATTATAATCAAGCTATTAAATTTAGTTTGAACAACTTTTGACATAAATTAGCACTCATCATTGAAAGCTCATGAAAGAGAATACAAAAAGAAAAAGAAAATGGAGGGAGATCTCATGGAGAGCGGTGCTATATTCAGCACCACAGGGCACATCTTGGTGGGAGAGTAGGAGGAATGGCAGCAGGCCACCATGAGGGTCTGGGGTTTATAGGTCCTTAGGAGAGCCAGCTCATGGGAGGAGTTAGCTACTTTTGGAGGGCCCTTTTGGCTGGCAGGTCCAGGTCAAGGGAGGAGTTTTGGTGGTGGAATCATTTAGGGCAGGGCGGTAGGGGAACAGTAAGGGAAGTTCCGTGGGGCCTGTTTTCCATGTCCTTAAATCATAAAATGCAGGAAATGATCAAAAGCAGGAAACAAAATGAAACAAAGTACTTTCAGCTATGAATATATCATATGACTAGAAAAGATTGGAATGAAATATATCAATATGTCCTCAGCTATGATTTCTACTTTTTGGATTAGGATTGATTTTGAGTTTCTTATATCTACTTTTCTATATTTTGCAGGTTTTATATAATTTATAGACAGGTAAAAAATGAAAGTTAAACAAATTGTACTCCATAGATCTATACAATGAAATACTACTTAGCAAAAAACAATAATACATCAACATGGATGAATTTTAAAGCAGCATACCAAAGAAGCTAAGCACAAAAGGCTACATATTATCTGATCCCATTTTTATGTCATTCTGAAAAAGGTGAAACTAGAGAAGGAGGGGAGGATGTTGTTAATTCAGAACATTTTGGGCTGATAGAAATGTTCTATATCCTGATTGTGACCTTGAGTACATGGCTGTACACATTTGTCAAAACTCATTAAAGTATGTACCTAAAAAGGGCAAATCTTATTTTATGTAAATTATCTTAGACCTGACTTAAAAAATAAGGCAAACTTAATGGACCATTTAGTAGTGGATTTGTAACATGTAGGTTTTTGGAATGTGATAAAACAGTTCCAGAAAGTTGTACTTAAATTGAGGTTAATAGGGTTCTTTGAGTCTTGAACATGTCTATGTAATATTTTATAGGCTATATTTGTTAAGTTGGTTATTATTACTAGAACTTTAATGATGAAAAGAAGACACAAAAAATATTATTGGGACTTATAGAGTTATTTTTTTTAATGCCAAGCAATTTTTGTTCAACATAATTCTTTTCATTTGTCTATATATAATTTTTTGTTTTTTTAAATTGATGTAACATTCATATAATGTAGAATTAACTAGTTTAAACTATACATATCATGCCATTTACTACATTCACAATGTTGGGAAACCATTACCTGTCTAGAGCCCCAGTACCCATTAAGCAATTACTCCCCCCCATTCAGTTTTCCCCTGTAGCCCTTGCAGCCACTAGTTGATTGTCTGTCTCAATGAGTTTAGCCTATCTGCATACTCCATGTAAATGGAATTGTACAAGATTTGATCTTTTATATCTGGCATCTTTTATTACCATAATGTTTTTGAGGTTCATAAGAATGTAGTTTTAAGTTTCAATCAAAAGTGTGTCATATTTAAAAATTAAAGTTAATTTGGCTGTTTTCTTGGCTTAACTTGTTAACTCAGATTATTCTGGCTTTAATAGGGTGGTGATGTTTCCTATTTACATAGTATCTGCTATTTAAGGAATGGTTCTCTAAGTGTTTACCTGATTTGATGGTCAGAGCAGCATAGTGATGCAAACAGAGCAAGTGGTATAATCACTGTCCAGTATTATAATCTTACCAACATGACACTGATAGTAAAGGCACCAACAATTTTGAGTGTTTAAACTGTTCACATTTATTCACTTACTTAATTATCACAACAATCCTGTGAGGTGCAGACTATTATTATCGTTCTCTTTTTATAGAGAAAAATCAAAGTTTAGGCCCAGAAAAGTAACTTTCCTAAGGCAACACTGGTGAGTGACTGAGTGGGATACAGACTCAGGCTGTCTTGGCCAGAGTGTGTGCCTGTAATCAGCATGCGCTCAGCCCTTTGAGCATGCATGGTGGCCTGAGTTGCCTCAGTAATCTAAGTGGCAAAGTCCAGGTTGGTAGCAGCTCTTCTAGATCCAGGCCATGTGCTGTACCACTCTGCTGTCCTGGTGCTTTGAGTGAGCATTTCCTGTTGATGTTGTACATGCCTCCCTTCATCAAGTGGGGAGGCATGAATCTCAAACTCTTCCTGGTGAATCTTACTGTGACACAGTGTTTCTCAACGGTGTGGACAGTGGGTCTCCTAATTAGGTCTTTTTATCTTCAAGGTGTTAGCTACTGGCGGGTGCCTCATGAACTCATAGAATGTTGGACACTGGAGGAGCGGCCTTTACTTGGAAGTCTGCGGCATATGACTCCAATTCGAAAGAGGTTATTTGTTATTTTTGAAAAATATGTGGCTGTTGCTTTTATTTCCCATATGAAGGGGGAAATGAATAATAGTTCTTGACCAAAAACTTATTAGTCACCTCGGTGAATATTCTTCTGCCTTATCATAATATAGATCTTGAGAAGTGTAGAATTACAAAAACTATGTAAAAACTGGGGATAATTAATTTTCTAAAATTGAATGTATAGTATATTTATTCTCTTTGGAGAATGTGGTTTTAAATGGATACAGTAGCAGTGCTGTGGTAGGTGTTTTTCCCCCCACAGAAGAAAAATCYTATGCTTTATTGGCAATTGTCAAAAAAAATCTATTTAGACTTAATACTTGAAATTTCCTATGCCTTATTCTGAATTTCTTTTTCTTTCCTATTGCCACAAATAGCATTTTTATTTAATGGTATTTTCTTGTGTTCCATGACATTATTAGCATTAAATTCACTTCACATCTGCATCTTTCTGTTTTAAATACATTTAAAATCATACTTTAAATTTAGTGTCTGGATTTTATGCAGGGCCTTCAGATACTGTGGCATCACTATCACCTGATCTGGAGTTTGCTTTCTAACCACATGGAATTTCAGACTACTTTCTTTCTTTTGTTCTCTGGATCTTTTTCAGTAATGAAGAGAAGTTGCAGTTTTTAGTAGTTAATCTTTATCTCTTATCAAAACAGATCTCATCTTTATTTTTAAAGATTTTAATTGTATTATCATTCCTTATTTTGCCTTTTTAATCAATAGTTAGCAAATATTATTTGGGTCTAGCACAGTGGTTCTCAATAAGGGGCGATTTGTCCCCCAGGGAATATTTGGCACTGTTAAGCTGTCACATTTCTGGTGTGCAGTGCTATTGGCATCTTGTAGGTAAGGTCAGGAATACTGATGAACATTCTACAATCCTCAGGGCAGATCCACCTGATCAAAGAATTGTATGACTAAAATGATAATAGCACATAAGGTTAAGATACCTTGGTGTAGAGTCTAGTGGAAGATGTAGGCAGAAAACAAGCAGACAGGACTGGTTTATGGAGACTTTCCTCTGTGTTAGTGGCCCTTTCTCTAAGATGTCATGAAGCATCATTTTTGATGCATTAACAAGATAATGATGACTGAGAAGCGCTATGATGACCCAAGGAGCAATGTGACTCACCAGAGAAAATCTAATTATGTTCCGTAAAGTTTTAGGGTTTAATGTATTATATTGGCATTCTTACTACATACAGAAATTTTCATATAATCATACTATTGTTTGATCCCATTTCCAAGAATGAGAGTTCTCTCCTGTAATTGCCTTTAACAACACACTAAGGCTGTGTGAAAAGAAGTGGACTGGGAAGATTGCTGTTGCCCTTCATGTTTTTTAGGTCATTTTTAGAAATATTCTCCCTTTAGGTTATTTATGATGAATGGTAACCTTAGTTCAGGAATCTTTGAAAGTTTGTCCAGAACATTCCAAATTCAAAAACATTTAACCATACCATGTTTTTGACCATTCTAGTGGTCCCACCCTCAAATGTGTGCCACAACATGCACATTTTACTGCTGTCTTAGGTTTTGTAAAAGAATAATTGTGAAATACAGATCAAACACAGTTGCATGGATGTTGTTACTTTAGACCTTTTCAGAACCTTTAATTTGTCAACATGGATTTTAAAGCTCCAGTTGGAGAATAAAATATACAATAGCATTTCTCAAATTTATTTAATTGTGAAACCCTCTTTTTTTTTTTTTACTTCAGTAAACTTCACACTTCTGGGGAAAACTACTTTGGATATTCTTGATTATCTTCTTACTACATCAGGATTCTTGGGAACAGAGTGATTTGTAGTGTAATTCTTATAAAACACTCCATATTTACCTTTTGGAGTTTAATATTATGTGTGATTTTTTTTTTTTTTTTGACACCAGGGGTGCTCAACCACTGAGCCACATCCCAGCCCTTTATACACACACACACACACACACACACACACACACACACACACTTTTTGAGACAGGGTTTTGCTAAATTGCTTAGAAACTTGCTAAATTGCTTACTTGCTAAGTTGCTGAGGCTGGCTTTGAATTTGTGATCCTTCTTCTTCAGCCTCCTGAGCTCCTAGGATTATAGATGTGTCCCACCTTGCCCACCTTATGTGTGATGTGATAAGATATAATTTGTATTCAAGTTGTAAACCTGCTAACTTACATACTGATGTCAGTGGAAGTTGAAAGTTAAAATAGGTTGATACTTACGAACCTCCTGACGGTTTAATTTTTCATGAAACCCTTTTTAGTAACCCTAAAAGTACACTTTGGAGAAGTTTTGATTAGTTACTAACCTGTAAATACTGAAAAAGACATGATTCTATATTTCTAGGCGACTGATAACACTCAATGAAGAGGAAGAAGAAGGTGTGAATTGTAAGGCTGGTCCTAAGCCAGTCAGATTTTTGGGCCCTTCCACAAGCACCCAAATTAAAGTGAAAAACTCCACTTCAGTCAGGGTGTCTCCAGCTAGCGCTCTCCAGATCTCCTCTCAGATGCCAGCAAACCAGTCTCAGAGTGGCAGCTTTGGAAAGGCATCTCAGCGCTCTGTGAACCCTGTGAGCACTAGGACATCTGGTCACTCTCAAGCTTCACATGGGGCCAGAAGTGCTGAAAATGGAGCCCCACACCCGCCTCCAGCAAAGGTGTTGCTCTCTGACAAGAAGTCTACACCCCACCGAGTGATAAAGCTGAAGAGGACTCCATTGTGTGCTGCAGTGCCTTCTCTGCCCATCCCCACAGCAGCAGCGAGGCAGGCCAGCCCCTCTAAACCTTTGGATGTGGGAACTGAAAATGAGAAAGACCAATCTGATGGATAAAAATGGTAGATTTGGTACTCCTGTTTGTCTCAGAGCTTTCAACACCTCTGATACCAATAAGTGACACTGTTTCTTGATGCAGTAGAAGAGAAGGCTTCTGTTTATGCTTAAGATTATTATGGGAAAAATGAATTGTGTGAAGTAGGGATGGAGGAGGGGAGATTTTGAATGGTTGGGGTTTTATTTAAATTTACTTCTCATCCATCTTCCCAACTTTTAAAGGATTGTCTATGAGCAGTTTGATTTTCTGTTTTTTTTTTTTAATTTTATTTAAATGGTTAATTGGTATTAAGGTGACAGTACAGCACAGTGATCATTAGAGAAGTCTCTTTTGTTGCTGAAACATTGTAGACTCTAGGCACTTTTGTAATGCTCCTTCTTGCAGCCCAGGTCCTGTCTGGTGAGTGGAGAGGGTGGGATCAGCACTTGCCTACAGTATATTGAAGCCAGTAGAGGTCAGAGAGGAAGAGTAGAACAAGGTAAGCTGCCTGCAATTGCTCTCAGGCTCAAAACACAATACGAAATGAAATGATGGGGAGAGGAAAAGACAATAATTTCAGATCACATTCTGACTCTCACTTGAGCCATTTTCTTTCCTAAATTGGCTTTTGTTATTCTTTTCCGTTAGCAGATTTATTTATAGACACCACAGAAAGATTTCAGTGATAAGAACTATACAACATGTCTTTGGAATGAAATGTTAAATTTTTGAATTTGAATAGTGCAGTTTTGAAATTACTTTGAAAAAGAGAAGTTAAAAAATTTAACTTTTTAACTAAAGTTAATATTCGTTCTTCAGAACTGACCATTATAGTCATTCTGAATATACAGTATGATTTTTTATGCATAACTTGAATTTAATATTTTTAAACAGAATATTTTGATTAATCCTCTATTTTTCATGACTATTCACTTGTGCATTTACTTTACATGTTCTGTTTTGTAACTGAAACACATATTCTACTTTCAGTGAGCAGTATGCCTTCAGCATTTTCAACAATAAGCTCATAAAGCAGGATACTTTTTACTTAGATACTTAGCATTGTTCTTGCATTGCCTTGAAAAACGTAAAGTAAACATAGTCAAAACATTATTTTTTACAAAATAAAGAAAAACTTTTCCATAAAAAGCAACATTTTTCTGTGACTGTTCTTAAGTCTTGAATCTCTTTAGCAGTTTGAAGTTTGTTAGTTAGAATAGGTTTTCTATTTCTGCCTACAAAATTGCTTTCTTGTCCAGATAATGAATGAAATAATTAAAACAATTTTGGATAACTATCCATCTACTAGTACTTTTTTAAATACATGGTTTATTTGGATAGAAAAGTAATTGAAGATACATAATATTCTTCTGTGGAATATATAAAATATTTAGGTGCCTTAAAAATGCTATTATACAGAATCCAGGTGTTCTGAAAATTAAAGACCATAGTGAAATTTTGAAACTACCAATCTGTAAATTATTAGTATTTCTTGATTTCACGTTGATGATTCATATAAGAAAATTATTTTATACATGTATGTGCGTGTGTGTGTGTGTTTGTGTGTGTGTGTGTGTGTGTTTTATACATAATAAACATTTACTGGAAAGGAAGAGGAAGCATTTTAAAGATTAATCTTGAGTGAGTCAGACAGTAGTCTCCATTTCAGGGGAAATCTACTTGGTGCACTTAGCCTTTGTAAGAATGTATTTGGAATAATTATTGGAAGCTGGTACAGTTTAGGTAAGGAAGAGACACAAGTATCAGGAGTCAAAGTCAAATTCTAAATGGTCAAGTAACTTGAAATTATTTGGGTATGGTCCCCTGGGATTAACTTAATTTTATGTAGAAAAATATGTTTTTAATTGTTTTACTTTTACTCTAAAATCCTCATTACCTTAGCAGACCATAAAAATAAATGGATAAATCATCATAAGATATTGTTTTTTCTGGACAGAAAGAAGAAAAAAGAAAAGCTTTATAAATAGTGATTTGAGAAGTAGGTTCAGGCAGTTGGATCAGGAGGCACATAGAAATTCTTAATGGTAAGTAGGATATATAAGTGAACTCATATAAAAAAATTTGATTATACTCTTCCAGGTAGTCTTGTTGAAAACTGGTTTTACCTGGTAAAAACAGGTTAGTTGTGTCATTGAGAGCCTAAGGCTGGCAATGGGGACCTACTGAAGGATTTCTTTTGTTTAAATTGCCCTATATTACAATTTACAAAATGCTTTCATATATTTTATTTATTGCTTTTTTCTTTTCAAAACAACATCATAAAGAAAAAAAGTCTTCCCCAATTCTTAAAGATTAAATCTGTGGAGTTCAGAAAAGTTATGGCTATCTGATAATGATTACCTATTTTAGCCCCATAATCTGATTTCTGCAGAATGACACAGCATCAGTCTGACTAAAGGAAAAGCTCGAGGGAGGAAGTAATTGTAAAAAAAAAAACCCTATGAATTTACTTAATATTTGAAGTTTTTGAGCAGGAAAACATTAAAGCAGTGGATCACATTTTCATTCCCTGCTAGACAGACTGTTGCTTCTGTACCTACAGTGCCTGGTGCACAGTAGATTTTCCATAAATTTCTGGGCAGTTAAAGGGCAACACTCTGCATCAAAATTATTCTAAAACATTTATCTAGTAACAATCTTCAGGGGGTGCAGAAACTGATTTTTGACTTTGCATTTTCTACTGTCAGGAGAATAAAGATCATGCAAATGACCACAATAACTGTTAGGAATGACCAGCAGAGTTACATGACTTGTCAGGTTATTTAAAATAATTCAGAGACATACGTTACCAGATCCCAGAGTTGCTACTTCCTGACTCGAGAGGAAAGCACCAGCCTGACCTCCCCTTCTGCTTCAGTGCACCACTTCTGCTGATGCAATTTCTTTCCATTCACAGTCAAATCGCCCTGCCTCCTTGGCAAGTGCTAACATTGAAAACATTGTCAAACCACTTCTGTCTGTGGTTGAGTGTGGTACAATTATTATCCAATTATACCTTTACTTTTAAAGAAGGAATGAAGTTACAAGCATATTTAGCTTCTCCTGAGAAGTTGTTCATAGGAAACTTTGGATTTACAAAGCATTTTGAATGTGTACAAAGGCCTGTGGTAGTGATTTTTTTCTGTAAAGGGAATACTACTAGCATTTAAATGAATATGAGGTTGCCTTATAAAGGATTGACATATACGTTCACTCACTTTGAATAGCTTTAATCTACATTTGATCTGATGTTGGCTAGATCCTAAGTGGAAAGTATCAATTTGATGGAATGAAGGGAAAGAGCTTCTACTATTTCAAATGGAAAGTATTTTCCAATGATTTACATATATGTATTCAAAAGTTAACAAGGAACTTTTACATTATGGAACATACTGTCATTTTCCCATATTTAAAACTCTCCCTTGAAAACTATCAACAAGTTACTGATTCCCCAGTCAGTGAATAGTGGATGAGTAGTTCTTTGTTGAGAGCTGCAGTTATTATGCAGGATTTCAAGCAAGTAGTACAACCAAGAAAAGAAACATCATGAATAGCTAACAACAACAACAAAAAAGTTGGTTTCCAGCTGTTTCTAGAATTGTATATTCACTGAAGTTTGTTGGTGGTGCAGTCACAAAGAGGCCATTTTCACTCACAGTCTTGTCAACTTCATGAGATACACATAGTTTACATTATTACAGAAAAGCTAACTTTTCTTTGTTAGCATGTGTGTTGCCTCAGACAGCCCATGCACATTTTATAGTTGCTAGCTAGATGGTTTTTGAAGTAGGCTGTGGCTATGACAAATAGAATTTTACAGTATCTGTCAGTGTTCTGCCCTACTTGTTTATTTAACAGCTTTGCATTTCAGAATGTTGCTTCTCAAACCTTTTCTTTTCTTCTTTCACCCCAAAGCCCATGTTACTTTAGTAAAATTCTGCTGAGCTCCAGGTATGAATCTGGGGGCCTGGGGTTTAGAAGAGAAATAGGCTTTTAAAAATAAAAAGCATGTCATAGAAATAAAAAGGTAGAACATCTGCTAAAGTTGGGAAAAGACAACTGTTTCCTTCTGTCCAAATTTCTTAAAAATTTGGACATTTCTGCTTTAATAGCAACTTTTTCAAGAGTTCATTCTCTAGTAATCTTCATTCAGAAGACCTGAGAACTTAAATAGATGGCAAAAGTAGTTTAAGGACATCAGAAATTGTACAGGATGCCAGGTGGGTCAGACAGTCTGGAGCTGGTAACATGGGCCACACTGGTCAAGATCTCCATGAAGCCAGAGGAATCAAGGCACCACTTATATGTCTACTCTGTCTCTGTTCCCTTTCTCCAAATCCCTTATATCCTCTTATCTTGGGATATTTTGCTAAAACAGGGCAACTGAGAGAAGGTAATTTATAAAGAACAGATTTATTTTTTACAGTTCTGGAGGCTTGGGAAGGCTAAGATTGATGGGCCCACATCTAGCAAAAACCTTGTTGCATCATCCCATGGGGGAAGGCTGAAAGGCAAGAGAGTACTAAGAGCAAGATTGAACTCGGAGCCTCAAGCCCTTTTATAGACGACATTAATTCATTTGTGAGTAGAGAGCCTCACAACCCAAATCTTTCCCATTAGGCCTTGCTTCCCAATGCTGTTATACTGGAGATTAAGTTACTAACATAAACTTTTGGGGGGACAAATTCAGACTATAGCATTTCTAGATTATGGTTTTTCTACAGTGGCACTGTTGACATTTTGAATCAGATAATTTTTAATCAATGGGATCATACTTGGTACTGTAGTGTGTTTAGTATCATCCCTGGTCAATGCCTCTTTACCCTTCCTTACTCCACCATCAAAAATATCTCCAGATTTTCTAAATGTCTCCTAGAGGGGAGAACAATTGCCTCAAGTTGAGAACCACTGCTCTAGTTGGGTGACCAAATCGGAACAAATAATTCCCTCCTCTAAATAGGAATTGTGATGAGTGAGAGAACATTGGAACTGGTAATCACAGGCAGGAGGGGTACCCTGGGAATCAAGAGGGAGGATGATAATAAATGAAGTACAACTCAGGCATGCCTGTGAAAAAAATCTATTCTTTGAGCTCATTATATTTCTGGTTTTGATAAATATTAGAAATATTTTTCTTGCTTTTCTGACCAAGGAGCTATCTAATAAAAGGTAGGATGTTCTCTTTTAAGCATTTTTATATGTTAACATTTAATACACTAACCCTATAATGTAGGTGTATCATTAAGATTCCACTTTGCAAAAGGGGAAACTGAAGCACAGAGGTGGTAGGTAAGGTGCCTAGCTACTAGCACAAGGCAAAGCTAGGAGTTTTCAGGCCCCTAAGCACCATGCTAGGCCTGCCCTTGTAGGAACTTGCTACACTCCACCCAAACCTGGGGATGAACACAGTGGGACTTAAAAGTCTTCTGTATACTGCGTAGCTACTTATCATATTTACCAAAAGCTCTTATAGTGCTTTCTAAGTGTATGCTAGTTTTTTCCTCTTTCCTTTTCACTCCTGAATCCAGTCTTCATTGCCCTGCTTATGATACTGGAGCAGAACCCTGTGGACACTTCTGTATTACCATCAGGCTGATGTTTGAGGTATGTCATTGAAGGACGCTGCAGGAAGAAAGGGCTTTTCTTCCTAGTTCAGTATGCAACCCTGTTATCTTGCTCCTGCAGTGCTTGGCCTGTGAGGTCCCAATGGCCTTTACCTCCAGCAAGCACTGCCAAACATGGTTTCCAATTCAGG